TAAGTCGACGTGATCGACGATAAAATCCTCAAGCTAATAAAATCCTTTGCAACTCCGTGGGCGTAAACAATTTGCTGAACAACATAAATCTATGTGTTCTGCTGTGTTTTCTGTTTTGTGAATTTCTCGTTCCAATTTCTTCGCTTTATTATCGTTATTTTTTACAACAATTGGTATCACAGCTTTGATTCGGATCTGAGGAAAACGATGACTGGAGATGAAGTGGTGGCATCAGGGATCGCGAAGTTTCATAACACAAATTTTGGTTACTGGAAGATGCAAATAGAGAACTACCTCTATGAGAAGAAACATTGTCTTCCGTTATTTGGAAAACAACCAGAGAAGATAGATGAAGTTGATTGGAATCTGTTGGATCGACATGTTCTGGGATTTTTCGATTAACCATGTCGAGATCCGTTGCCCACAACGTCATCAAGGAAATGACTACTGCAGAACTCATGGTGACTTTATCAGGTATGTATGAAAAGTCATCGACGAATAACAAGGTGCATCTGATGAAAAAGTTATTCAACCTGAAGATGGTGGAACGTGTGTCTGCTGCTCAACATTTGAATGATTTCAATATCATCACAAACCAATTGTCATCTGCTGAAATTGATTTTGACAATAAGATACATGCGCTGATATTGTTGGCTTCATTGTTAAATAGATGGGAAACCATGATGATGGTAGTTAGTAATTCTGCAGATAAATATAAGTTGAAATATGATGATATTCGTGTTTGATTTTGGCTGAGAAAGTGAGCAGGAAAAATTTCGGCGAGACCTCAGATTCGAGTTCGACACTGAATGTTGATTCCAAAGGAGATCACATGACATGAACTCAAACAGAGGAAGATCAAAATCAAAGCATGGAGACAAGAGCAAATCAAAGTCTGATCAGCAGACAACCTGATAGAATTGTGTCAAAGCTGGTCACATAAAAAAAAACTGCAAAAATTCGAATAAGACGAAAAATGATAGCGCTAATATTGTAACTAAAGAAGTACATGATGCACTATTGCTGACAGTTCACAATTTTGTTGATGACTGAATATTGGATTCAAGAACTTCTTTTCGTACATCTTCTCACCGAGAGTTAATGCAGAACTATGTTGCATGTAACTTTGGAAAGGTGTATCTGGCTGATGGAAGAGCTCTGAAAGTGGTGGGGATGCGAGACGTTGATATTGTACTCCCTAACAATAGTAAACGAGTTTTGCAAAAGGTTCTAAATAGATGGGAAACCATGATGATGGTAGTTAGTAATTCTGCAGATAAATATAAGTTGAAATATGATGATATTCGTGTTTGATTTTGGCTGAGAAAGTGAGCAGGAAAAATTTCGGCGAGACCTCAGATTCGAGTTCGACACTGAATGTTGATTCCAAAGGAGATCACATGACATGAACTCAAACAGAGGAAGATCAAAATCAAAGCATGGAGACAAGAGCAAATCAAAGTCTGATCAGCAGACAACCTGATAGAATTGTGTCAAAGCTGGTCACATAAAAAAAAACTGCAAAAATTCGAATAAGACGAAAAATGATAGCGCTAATATTGTAACTAAAGAAGTACATGATGCACTATTGCTGACAGTTCACAATTTTGTTGATGACTGAATATTGGATTCAAGAACTTCTTTTCGTACATCTTCTCACCGAGAGTTAATGCAGAACTATGTTGCATGTAACTTTGGAAAGGTGTATCTGGCTGATGGAAGAGCTCTGAACGTGATGGGGATGCGAGACGTTGATAT